AGGCCTGAAAAAATATCATGAAAATTGGAAGAAGTTTGAAGAGTATCTGCTTCAATACCAACAGAACACGATGACAGTGCTGGCAGATTCGGAAGATGAAGATGTTTGCTGGGTTACGCGACTCGGACTTGTCCCTTGTTCCCGAATCCTTGGATCCATTTAAGCGTGTGTACATCTGTACCCATGGATGGAAGAACCGTGTTCGATAAAAAGGAAAACGGCCTGTTCACAGAGTCAACTTCACCGAGTGCCAGGTGCGCTTTGTGGCACAACTTTACGAGAAAAACGTGGAGAGTGCTGTGTTGAAGTTAAATTGGCTTTTTATGGGCACAATCATCCTGTGTCGCAAGACATTTACGACGGATATCCGACGGTTCGACAGATATCCGCCAGTTCGCCGATCATGCGCGATGTGGAGCTCATGGTTGCAAGTGGGAGTAAGCCCAGCCGCCTGTATGACTACATTCGTAGCAACTCGACGCACAAGATGCAGATGCAGGACGTGTATAACCTCATTGTGAAGATAAAGAAGTCAGGTTCGTAGTAAATCGAGATCATGTATACAATATAAAGAGTAACCAAGTTGTATTTTATGCAGGTAGTACACTCTCCGACGAAGATCAAGTAGCAGAACTGCATACTTTGACGAGAACTGGATGGCCTGCAAGGAGATGTGGGTCATGTGCTACCGAATGGATTTGCCACACTTCCGAAATAACACGAACAACCGACTGGAAAACTTTTTTGGCAAGCTCAACGTTGATTTGGATAGCGCGATGTCGATGAAACAGTGTTTGGAAGCTGTGATCCGGTACCAGCACCGCAGAGAAGACGAATACGTCTCCCGAATCGTTAAGCCTGGTACCACCCGAAGCATAAACTACAGCGAGGAGATGAATCAACTGCTCGGGATGACAAGTGAGTGGTTGGCTGATGTGTTTAAGACGGAGTACGCCTTTGCTATCAGCCCAGAAGCTGTGAACAGTTATGTTATCGAGGACGAAGAGCTGCACATTACGTTAAAGCGAGACGGGAGGTCTCACCGAGTGGACAAGTTTGATTGGATGTGCACATGTGAATTCTCTTCGACCATGAAACTACCCTGTCGCCACGGCATGATCTATCGCAAACACGTTGCTTTCTCTTCTCACAATTCCTTACGCGTCAATCCCGGACAGGTAAGCCCCATGGTTTTATCCATGTTTTTTAAAAGTATTTCATCGATTTCTAACGATATTTGTTGTATGTATTTTCCGTGTAATAGCTATGTTGTGAATTGAAAGGCGGCTTCGTGTAGGCACGCTGCAAGAGGAACTAGCCGAATTTGAATCACCACTGCGAATCTACACTGAGGTGGACGATGCTGTGCGGAAACAGCAGATGACTCAGCGCAACAAGTACAAGAGCGTACAGAATGTCTTCAGTAGGCTGACATCGGAGCTAACCGACCTTCCCGACGCAAAGTTTACAGCAGCAATGGACCATTTGGAAACATGGTGGGGGAATTTGCGACAGGGTGACGTCTGTTTTTCAGTCACGCAGTCGAGTGTTTCAGAAATCGATCTTCCGCCAACTCAGGTAGCTGCTTCAGGTCTTAGTAACGAACGCAAAGATAATGAAGACATGGGGAACGCTCGCGAAGTTGGTAGTGCGGATGACCAACGGACGGCTACTGCGCCTAAGCCATTCGTGCAGTCAATTACTTCGAAGCAGTTTGACACTGAAAGTGCTGCCAAGACTTTCGTCAGGCCGTTTATTCCTCGGACTCCGAAATTGGGTCGCTCAAAGAAAAACAGAGCAGCACAAGATGCTCTACGAAGTGCTGACCGCAAAGAGTACAACCAAGGAGCCAAGTTGGGAAACGCACTCCGCGGTGATGATGTTGTTCGGGTAGAGGAATTTCTGAAGATTAGTAAGTCATCGCTACTGGAGTTGTCGTCGTACCTGAACACGTTCGAGACGCGTCACAACGGGCGCAAGGAAAAAAGGTTGAAGTTATAAAACAAGTACCCACGGAAACTTGCGTTCCGTATCGACTGCCTGAACAGTTGGTAAAGAAGGCGTTACAGCTCATCGATCGCCTGACACCGTACGGGGAAGTCATGGACGTGAGTACACCCCCGGACCCAAGTGAGGAGTGTTGGTTAGCGGACATCGAAAGGGTTGGCAAGTTTACGCAGCGGCAACTCATGGCAATGCAATACTTGGGTGACATGATGAGAGATTGCACAAACGGACTGAAGTGCTACTCATGGTTGATGAGCAAGGTGGACGAACTAATCAATGACGAAGTATCAGCTTCAGTCGCAAAGCAGATGATTGGGACCTGGCCTGCCAAGCGCCTTTCAGGATTTGGTGAAGGCTTTCAAATGAATTGGTCGCACTTGTATTGTGCTGGGGACGCTTGCTGGTATAATGAAAACTACATCCAAGCCTTTGCCAAAACGCTGGAGGTAAAGTACGACAACAACTGCATGGTCTATTTACCACAATTGAAGACACCGGCACCAGACAAGGGCAAGCGCATTGGGCCGCGAACATTAGGTCTACTGACGGGCACCAACAAGGACTGGGTGTTCATGCCGTTGAATGTCAATGGAAACCATTGGATGTATCCTGTTGTCAACCGACCGCGGCAGACTATATACTGCTACGATAGTCTCGACAAGCGCGCTTACCACAATTTACTTGAAGAGCTGGCACAGGAACTCAACCAGACAGTTATGAAGAAGCCGTACGAGATTGTTGCTGTCCACACCCCTGTCCAGACTGACAGCAACAATTGCCGTTTGTTTGTCTGTCTGTACGTTTGGCGTCGGGTGTACAAGGAAGCTAGCAACGACTACTGCGAGGCTGGGTTGCTGCGCCGTCGCTGGGATGTGCTGCGATCTGTTATTGACTTCAGCGACTCTTGCAAGAAGGAAGACGAGGATAACAAGTGATCAATACATGTTTCGCTCCATGTTTTGCATGTTTTGCATGTTTTCAGCGTCTTGGAGGTGTAGACGTGTCATGCGAGCATTGTGGTGAAGTGCTTTCTCAAAAATAAGAGAATGGACCTGACGCGGTGTCACTATCCCGAATCAGTGACAATTTCAAGTGATTAGAGAGGATTTGGGTTGTCTGGCACGGATGCAAGTTGCCTGTGGTGGATAAGCCATGACGAGCAGCACCCCGCATGAAATGACGGTGGATCTGGTATGAGCGATGTACGAGAAGGCAGAGATCCACCAAGACTTACCTCGGATCCACCCTTACCTGGATGCAC